CCTCCACTGCAGCTTACCACGCTCCCAGGAACAATACCACCAACAACTCATTTCACGAACCCTGGATTCACATCGCAGACAGGGAAGCCTCCAAAGAAGCCACCACAGTTTACACCTCAGCCACCGCCCCCTCCATTAAGTATCCTGTTTGATTTTTCGTCTGATTCGAATCAAATTAGCATACATGGAACGAAGACGGAGACCAAGTTTGTGAATCTTAAAACTTGCAAGGAGGGATTCGTTTACGATCCCTTTGTTGAGAAATGTCGGGAGGCTTTTCGAAGAGTTATTGGGGATGAGAGCTACTCTGTTAACTCAACCAACTCTACTAACAACAACTTGATAAAGCTCAACTGCTCCGGAATCCGCCTTAATCTTTCAGATGCTGTTTTGTATCCGAACGGAACTCTGTGGGTGCCCATGCACTCAACAGGATACAACCGCACTGAGTATTTCGTGAAAGGCTCCATTATATTCTTATGTACAGACTTTGAAAGTAATTATTCAAAAAATGAGATAATTACAACGTGGTCTTATGTCTCTGACGTAACACCATTGCAGATTCTCACCTACGCCGGATGTTCTCTTTCAGTTTTTTCGCTCCTCATTTTGCTGGTCATCTACTGCGTATTCAAAGAATTAAAAACTCTCCCAGGAAAAAACCTAATCAACCTGTCTATTTCCATGGTATGTTATCACATGCTCCTGTTCGGGGCAGGGTTAAGAACCATCCAAGAGGTCTGCACAGGAATCGCAGTCCTTCTTCATTATTTTTTTATGTGCTCATTTGCGTGGATGAGTGTCATGGCGTTTGACGTGACTAAAACATTCGTTTTTCATGGTAGGTTCAAGGTTCAAGGTTCCTTTATTTCACACTATTTACATAAAATTAACATAGATAGAAAAGTAAAATTGCAACAGATGATTACAGAATAAAATAAATAAAGTACAGATTATAAAAATGTGTGTGGTGGTCAAAGTAGCGAAGGCTTTCTGGTTGGCCACCACCTACTTTTTGATAAACAAAGAAATGACACTGAGCTACGAAAGAAAGACTTTCATCATTTCATTCAGTTTGACGGAAATAGGTAACACTCAACGATACTAGCCATTTGCGCTTGTATTGCTTATCTCAGTTTAAACGCTCTGGTCTTGGTACCCGTGAGTTAGTCCAGTTTTTCTGCACTTGTATTCGTCCGATTACAGAGTATGCATGTCCTGTCTTCCATGACGGCCTCCCCGTGTACCTCTCCAACGAACTTGAAGAAATACAAAAGCGGGCTACGCGCATTATTTTTCCTCTTTGCTCATATAATGAGGCCTTGGCTGAATCAGGCCTGACTAAACTTTCAGATCGCCGCCAGAAACTAGTTGATAAACTATTTAAGAATGTTTTACAGAATGAACAGAACAAGTTCCATGAACTTCTTCCTGCTCGCAACACATGTACCTTTAACCTAAGAAATATGCGGAAGTTTAAGCCAGTTTTTAAGACGAACAGGTTTCGTAATAGTTTTATTACCTTCAATGCCCTTAAGGCCTGAACGGTTTTATACAACCGTTTTTGTTTTAGAACATATATTTAGTGTCCTTATTGCTGTTTTAATACATTTAGTCTATTTAACGTAATTATCAATTTTTGAAACTTGTAAATAATCGTATAATTCAACTTTTGGTTGCAAATCGGTTATTAATAAACTATCTATCATTTCTATCTATCTATCTATCTATCTATCTATCTATCTATCTATCTATCTATCCAGCTATCTATCTATCTATCTATCTATCTATCTATCTATCCATCTATCATTTCGCCTACGGACTTCTTCACCGAGAAGTAATTTCGCTACAACGGTTACTAGTGTTTCAGACTCTAGAGTTACTGTAATTTGGTAATATCAACTAATTTGAAATTGTAAATTTGGCCACCGTAAAGGGTTAAAAAGGTGACGTTTCGAGCGTTAGCCCTTCGTCAGGGCGAATCTAGAGTTATTGTGTTTAGCTGTAGTTAGCAAAATTAACTGAATTCATAAACCTTTTGTCCTCTCTTTGTAGATACTAACCTACGTTCAGATCAAGAAAAGAGACAGAGAAAAACTTTCCGAAAGTATTGCTTGTGCGCCTGGGGTTTACCAGCAACCGCTGTTGCCACTTGTTTTCTATTTGACCACACTGAAATCGTCTACATTGGATATGGCAAGTTCCCATACTGAGATTTTCAACGTGGGGGGAGGGTAGTGTAGATAAAATTGACGAGGATGTGGTAATTATATACCACTTAGAATGTTAAATACAAGATAGTAATTGTCGCACTTTATCAGAAGTACTTTTTTGGAAGAGCGCGCCCCTCAAACAAGCGCCGCCCTTAGGGCTCAAAAAAATTGTTTATTCGAGTAAATAAAGTATAAAAAAAAATAAGTTGATAGAATACAAGTGAAGCGAATAGTGAGTTAATTCGATGAGATATTTGTCAGTAAAAAATATTGAAGGCATTTCTTCCGGATGTTTCTCCGGCCCAACTCTCAATCATTCATTATTTCATTTCAAAGTACTGTTTGAGCCGCTCGAATGTAAGAAAAAAGTAACGCGTGAAAACAAATTCAAATTCAATTATCTTTTCGGATCTTTTAAAGGACAAGGAGGATTCTGTTGGATGGAAAACGGCACTGCCCTTTTATTTGCTGTCGGTGTACCTGTTGCATTTGTTATCTTGTTTAATTTCGTAGCACTGACTTGGACAGCAGTTGCCATCTACAGAGTGCGAAAGGTAAAGTTGTTTTTTTAGACGAATCGGTACAGTTAATTTTTGGTCATTGTTCATGACGCTAAATACTGTTTTCGCTGTTTTGCATTGCCTGGTGAATTAAGGTACTATTCAACTAAAAAAAAATCGCTGTTTCGAGAAAGGTTGTCGGAAATAAAAGCGTCGAAGTGCACGCGACAATTGCGAAAGGCATTGAGAGTAGTTCTCAGCTCATGGATTTCAGGAAAGGCTGAGAAAACTTCACGGTGAGGACGAGTCATCGCAGGTTTAATGAATTCATTTATTTATTTATTCGACTTGCTGAAATTCGCTGATTGCCGGATACCCGTATTACCTTTCGAGTTTGTTGTGTGCACTGTTGTCTTCTTTTCCCAATGAACCTTTCTCTGTATATCCCTTACACTAACTGGCTAGTTTGGATATGTTAGGTTACCAGACAACTGGAAGATCAGAGAGGTCATCCAAGTCTTGCTCTGTTGTGTATCAAACTGACGTGCGTCTTTGGTCTGACTTGGGTCCTTGGCTTTCTGAGCTCCATCGTTAAAGCAGAGGCAACCACGTATCTTTTTGTTATCGTTAACAGCTTGCAAGGTAGGCTGACACGCTTTAGTGACCTTTACTTTCCTTTCGACGAAGATTCGGCAAATTTGGTCTGGGGTAGGGTAGGGAGTGAATCTCAATCTCAATTTCACACGAATTGCAGTTTCAGACCTTTTCGTCACTCTTTTCGTTAGGATGAACGCAAGCCATAGCGATCTTAACTGAATGGGTTGCTTTGCTTCTCCATAGGGTTTTTCATATTCCTGGCATTTGTTGCAAAGAAGAGGACCATAGCCCTGCTAAGAGGTCTAAGAAAAAATCATCACGAAAGCGGACAAGAAAACAACGACACTTTAGACACGAAGTTATGACTGAGATGTAGCCTGTCTTTATAGGCGTCGTTTTAGCACAAAACCAAACAGCACCTTTGTGCACTGTTATTATAAACTAATTGCGATTTTGAGATGGCAATACCACATTTTATTAACCAAGCGCGAGGGCTGTACTGGGAGAATATCGGCCCGAGGTCTTCACAGTACGGACCGAGCGCAGCGAGGTCCGTACAAAAAAGACCGAGGGCCGATATTCTTCCAGTNATTGTTATTCGTGCTTTTGAAAATTTCTAATCCGAGGCAGAAACAGGGTTTCTCAAAGTCAGCCATCCATTCTGGAGTTTTACGACAAAATTTTCGAAAGATGTCGTCCTCGTCCGCCATCTTAATTTCAAGTTCAAAGGGACACAAGTGAGGTATCATTCGGGACCATTCGGGACAATGCCCGGTCCAATACTTACAGAATATTGGACCGGCAATAGAGCATTTTCATTGGTTGATTTTAGTTATTGGCCCTCTGACTGCCTGAGTCGTGTATGTGTTATTTTGCCGTCTCAAAATCGCAATTAGTTTTGTATCGCGATCCATCATTTATAAGGATAAATAAAGCTGTAAAACTGTAAAACTGTAAAATAATCCGCGCCTGATCGAAATATCAATTCTTTCTGCCTGCGAAACGTATCCATAGTAACGCTAATTTCGCACACAAATAACTTTGTCGCGGGTAATTTGAAATTCCCCGCAAGTTTATAGTCTTTGTTACCATAAAATGAGTTGATTGAAACCGAAAAGTGTTGAAAATTACACAGGAATGGAGTCCGAATAGCCATATGGTGATGAAATGCCAAATTTTGATATCTGTGGGACTGTTTTTAAAGAGTTATTTAAGGACATCGATGTACTAGAGGTCGATGCGAAAACCGTGAGACGGCAAAACCACGAAATATAGACAGCTCGCGCATGGCCAAAACTATAAGAAGATCGCGATACAATCAGGTATCGTCGACTACGAAGAAAAATAATCACTTTTAAGTGGCTGCTTACGCAAACCTTTTTGTTTTCGACTACTCAATTTTGAGTTCAATGAACTGACTGAATATTTGAAAGCCTGCCATCATCCCTTCTATATTTCCTTATTTGTGGCCAGCAGGAGCCAGGCGTTATTATTTTTTCATCCCCTGCCGTGAAATTAACTGCAACGCAGTTGAATCAGCTAGCTTACCTAATCATGATTAATTGGATATTTCCCAAACCACATCAACAACTTAACACCGATGACATCAACGACAATGTTATGCAATACAATCTCGTCACTGGTCAATGACATCTATTGATCCTAACTCGCAAGTCATTAAATTCGCTGAAGTGTTTTTTTAGTAAAATATGGAGAACTCACGCTACAAACAACGGATTCCTCCAAACGTACATGTTATGTGTTTATTGGGCTCTGCGCCAAATTTGTATGAAATTACTATACCTCCATACATTTAAATCTCTATAATTGTAGGCAAAGAAAGCTTCTATGAGGTATTGAAAGACAACCTCAGTCTGTTGGAGAGATACGAAGATAATATTTTGCAAAAATTGCATAATTTCATAGGCCTACTTTTTGGAGGTTATACGTAATTCAGATAAAAATACTGTCAGAGGCTTCACCTAGCCGACCCTAATCAAACACGAACAGTGTGACAAAAGATGAGGAAATACCAGAGTCTGTCTTCCCACCTCAGATCCAAGAGACAAGCAACATCGCCATTACCACTACAAAAACGCAACAGGTATTACCAGTAAAGTCTCCTCGAAAAAAACCTTCATCATCATGGGGAACTTTTTCCACATTTCCCTGTTGATCACTTGATAGGGAATTGTGGGATGGTTGAATAGTGAGCTTAACATCTTCTTCATTTATGGTTACCACTGTTCCGTTATCACTGATGACAGCGTTTGACTCGGTGCGTCTGTCGAACTGGTTTTCGTGTACATCTTGTAGCCCTGGAAGCTGGTGCAAAAAGTATTGCTTTTGGTAATAGACAGAATAACTGATAAATTTGATGAAGAAATAACGCGAAGAGTAGCTATTGAATTTTCCCATGATCTCCATCGTTTGTTCATTAGTCCCTGCTAATCAGGTAAACTTCATTTATTTACTTCGTTGTTTTTCAGTCATGTTTTTGAGTTTAAACAAAAAATCATCAGAACTGTCTATTATACAGAACTATTAATCATTATACAGAACTATTAATTATCACAGCAACAAGAATTAAAGCTGTAGTTCCCGTGCCTTTAAAAATAAATTTATACGAGCAAACAAAAAATATTTAAACTCCCCAAATATCAACACCAGCAACTAAAATAAAAGAGCATACCAGTGGCAGTTTCAAAGGTGTGTTCAGCATTTTCCTCAGTTTCTCACATTTTGGGCAGTCATCATCAATTAAGATTTCTTCACGGTCGTCTTCAGAAGTATGATCCTCTGCATAGTGTAATGTTAACTGCAACTCCAGCCACGCAACCCTGTTTCTCATGCGCTAAAATTATAGGGCATGTGAAGGAATGGTCAACCAAACTGAAGCTAGTTGTGAACGGAATCATGCACTCATCCGGTGAAGCTGTCGCCTGGAGTGAATGCTATTCATTACGCGCGATTTTCAAAGCCTTAAGTAGTTCTTTCCTTGCCCCCACCCCCCCTCCCACTTTATAACTGAGTGCTCGGAACACAGCCAAAAGCTTAATAGGTCACTGATTCGCGGGAGGGAAGGGTTCTATGCAGAAGAAAACGTGTGTCTTCGTTTCGCGCCGTGCCAATCGCGTCCTCTTAGAGCAACTGTTACGCGAGCAACTGAGATGTTTTGGTAGCATTGTTTTATATTTGGGTTACCATTTTTTATATTTACTGAATATCATATGTTGTTATATGGGTGAAAGTACAGTATATCACTTCAAAGTTTTATGGCTTTTGTTTTCGTAATCCATTGCCAGTATAGACAAACTTGCTTACTCTACATTCAGAAATATATACAAATTAATCGAATGAAGCCATACACTGCTGTGAGGACAACATGAACAGATCTACATTGCTGCTGAAGGACAACATGAACAGATCTACATTCAGAATGAACTCGAAATTCTCAGCATCTGAGCCCAATGAGTTGTTTGAATATCTAATTCATTTCACTTGACAGTCTGCCCGTGCGTCTAATTCCCGTATTCGGTCAACAAAATCAGTCTTACACTCATCGTGATATTGTGACTGACGAACGAATTTTTTGATCCTTAGTAGTTTCGCTGTTTCCTCAATCAGTTTCGCTGTTAAACTCGCGCAAAAAGTGAAGCGGCCGAACCGAAGTTGAAAGATAGGATGGAATGACTAGTGTATTGTGATCTAGACCCTTTTAGGTCTTTTAGATGCTTGAATAACTTTCCCTCAAAAAAACATGCTCACTGAAAATTTATCAAATCACCTGGATAGTTTTATCTTTAGATTTCAAGCGCTTTTTTAGCGTCTTGCGCCGAGATTGCATCGTTGCTAGAAGGGTCATCTTCATTTACTGCAGGCGATTCTTCATGACAAACTAAGATCTCAGTAGGATCTAACTCTGATCAGCACCCACCATCTGTCTACTTTCGTTGTTTGACTAAAGCATTAAGCATTGAAGCCGAGCCAAAACCGCTCTCCTGCGTCACTTAATAAACTAAATTGGTGAATGAACCACTCATTATCTCAAAATTATCAATTATGCCCTGATGACATAATCGCAGGAATTGTTAAAGTATTGCACGCGCTTCCAACGTCGGTTTGTAACAATATAGTTAATGACGCTTAATTGTGACACCCAACCGGTCTTTTTATATCTTGCTATAGGTTCGTCTGTTTGCCACAAAAGCGAGAAAAATAAAGAATCCTGGGAGTAACAGAGGGTATATGAAACTCTCTAAAAGTAGAACCGCTTTGGTAAATTTCAAATTGTAAGCTATTTTTTTAAAAATAATTTTATATCGATTTTTTATCATAAAAATTATGGTAGCAAAATAGAATCTGTTTTCTCTGCAATAAAATCATCAGAGCCCTAGATAAGGATTAGAAAACACTTGTACTTTACGGTAAGAAAGAAAAAGATTTCTCAGGATTGCCTTCGGCAGAATGGATGAAATGATCGAAAGAGAACTTCCTTTTACTGTATTCATACCCATCCCGAAATGAAGGAAAAAGTTAGAAAGAACGTATGTTAACAGCGGGAGTGAGAGGAATTGATCACTCTGTGGGGGTCCCCATAGGACTGTTAGCGAACCGTTTTTCATGCGTATGGTCGCATATCAGCGGAAAATACGTACCGTAAGTCATACCACCCTTAATAGAGTTTGACTAATGTTCGTGGGTCGTGGGTCGTGGGTACAAGTCGTGGGTGTGGGTGTGGGTGTGGGTGTGGGTGTGGGTGTGGGTGTGGGTGTGGGTGTGGGTGTGGGTGTGGGTGTGGGTGTGGGTGTGGGTGTGGGTGCGGG